GCACTCACCGAGAAAGAAAATTCTGTCATCAAAATGAGAGAAGAATGCACCAAACTTTCCGTGGAGCTCGACAAACTTGTAGAAAATCAAATTGTAAGTGAAACGTGTGTTGATCAATTGATAGTAATTTATATAAAGAATCTCCGTAATGAAATCATTCACTATCGAAAATTGATGGAGAATGCGGAGCATTTGCGTACAACAACTACAAGCCATGTCGTGATTGAAACTCCAGCATCTGGTCTTCGAACAACTTCTTATCATGCCTACGGCTCAGCTTATGCCGATGCCAACACTGAAATGCATATTGCGCCTTGAAAATGATTCATTGTGAAATATTTATCCCACTTTTTAATTGATTCCTGATTCATTATATATTTCAAAAAAGAGATTTTTTCCTACGTTCAAACTATTAGATTTCAAGACATTGACTTGAAGTTTAGTTGTTTGAAGGACTTGTTTCCTTTTTTAATTTAAAATAACTAATTTTTTCAGTTTTACTAAACAAATAATTACTTCAATGAAATAATTCTATTGTACTATGCATATTTGCCTATAATGGAGCATTAGAATGTGCTGATAAACCCACACGTGGTTGGTCCATTTGTTTGACCACACTACGCTAGGCGCTTTGTTTCCGTGTTTCAGATTACAGTTGATATTTAATGTTGCGAAAAAGACAACTTCATTGGTTTTGTTTTCCATTCAACACAAAATTTTCACTTTGGCTACAACATTGTTTTCCATCCGTCATTATATGATGAATTTTTTTGCTGCGTCTCTTGTTAAAACAAGTTTTGAAACAGAAAAGAAAAACAGCGATGATCATTTCAAATTTTCAGGTTTACTAGCGACTATGGCAAGACCCAAACCACCAACGGAGGTAAAAACATCATTATTATCAAGATGCAATCTAAATTTTCCAGGGTACTCCTCTTTGTAATGTGGAACACATCGAGTTTGAGTCCAGGGCAGACGACATCAAAGCCGGCCTTATCGATACATTTTTGAACTTGCAGAGGATTGACACCAACTTGTACATGTTAGTTGCCATTTTATAAAAGCAAGTACATACATTTTGTTCCAGTGCTCGCCATCTTCTCAAAGGTCGTCACTCTTATAACGCGGTTTATGGCGGGCAGGTATGTTGAAACTCCCAAGGTTTTCTTCGATTTTTTCCATTTCCTAGGTAGTCGGCCAATCGCTTGCGGCAGCTGCTGCAACAGTCGAAGATTGCTTCATACCACACTCTTTACACAGCTATTTCATCAAAACAGGTCAGTTGGTTTCGGCGGAAGTAACAAACAGCAACTGTTTCAAACCAAAAAAATATTTTTCAGGCAGTGTCGATAAGCCCATTCTATACATGATAGATCGGATTCGCGATGGACGAAGTTTTTGTACAAGAGTTGTCAAAGCGGTTCAAGATGGGGAGGCGATTTTTTCATGCCAAATCAGCTTCCATCATGTACGGCACAATAATAGAATATATATCCAGTTTACTTGGGAAATCTACATAATTTCAGAAAGAACCAGATGCAATCAAGCATAGTTCAAGAATGCCGGAAGTTGCGGCACCGGAAGAATTACTTGTTAGTCGCCTTATCTTTCCGCCAAGTGCAATAAGTATTGTGAACTCTGTTTCAGCCTGCGCGCGAAGCAGCTCTTGAAGTGTTGAGAAGTAATAGCGTGGACGAAGTCACCGCTGGAGTGATTCAACATTTTTTGAAAGAGATTCCTGATGCGTTCGAAAGAGTTTTTGATGTGAGACCAGTGAATCCAGCAAAATACTTATTGAAAGAAGATACTGAGCCAATGTCCATGATTTGGATTCGTGCCAGAGAAAATTTAGGTAAGAATCGCGAGAATTGAACGTTTTATTTTTAAAGTCGTGCGCTTCAATGGCACGATGAAATGGAAAGCCACAATTGAACGTAAAACTAAATGCGTCCAATAACTCAAAATCACTGGAAATGTTATCCTAGTAGAAAATTATATTTCAGGTGACGATACCCGTCTCCACCAATGTGTTGCCGCATATTTGACCGATCTTAGCATGTTGACCACGGCTGTTCGTCCGCACATTAGAAAGGGTTTCATTCCGTCGATGTCTTTCTCTCTCGACCATTGTGTCTGGATTCATGAGAACGAGTTCAGAATGGATGATTGGATGTTATATGAAACTGTGAGCTCAAAAGCAGGTAGCTAGTCATAACTTGGTATTTATCATATTTTGTTGTTCACAGGAGGAAGTCGAGCATTCATTGAGGGTCGATTGTGGTCTCGCGATGGACGCCTAATTATTTCTACTGCACAGGAAGCATTGGTTCGAGCTCCAAAAGTTTGAACTGCTCGTTTAATTTGCTTTAATGTCATCCTTAGTTNTGTTAATAAAAATTGTTCATCACTTCCTCTCTTTCTCTTCCTGTTGATTCCAATCGTCAGTGGTAAACGAAAAAGCTTTCGGTCCATTGATAAATGATTGCTCGTTTTCCACTCACTCTGCTTCTCTTGGTTCTCAATTCTGTTTCTTGAGTGTCCTGACATCCCTATTTTTTAGCATTCTTTACTGCACTTTCGACATTCGACCAACACATCCCACAGCTTACACTCCATTCGAATCTTTTTGACATGAGGTTCTCGACCATAGCTTTCATACTTCTAGCTCATTTTGCTATAGTTGGCGCCATTTCTCCGATCAACTTGGAAAACTGCATCCCAGGGAGCTTCTTTGTGGAGAACTACATCAAGTATGAATGTTTTCAAAGTGGAACTGTCAAAGGATATACTATTATTGGTAGGGCGGGAAAAGAATAGAATTAAAAAAATATATAACAATATAAAGGATGCCAACCATCGAACGACTTGACTGGTATGACTCTAATGCAATGGGAAACCCATAACGAGAAATGGTTCAAGTATCACTGTGTCATTGATGGACGTAACGCACAATATTCCGTGAAAGGTTAGTTCCAGTTGATTTCAGAATTGGGAGCTTCTCAAGAATCTTTTTTCAATGTTTTCCTCAAAAATATGGTATTTCGAAATATTATTTACAGCTTGTCTCGACCCTGTTGGAGAAGTACTTCCCGTCGGAAAATCTCGTTCTTTCCCAGATGGAGAGACGTTCACCTGCTTCATTGAACGCAACAAAGTGAAGTTGAATCACCAAACAAGTGAGCACAATCTAAACTATCACGCTATTGTGCCAGCTAACTATGTCATTGTCAGACCAAACGGTGATGTCGAAATTTGAACCAGTATAATTATGTTTTCTTACCCAATTGTTCTTAATTCTTCTCGTATATTCTTCATTAATCCATCTCTTGTAATAATAAAGTGTTTGCTTCATTATTATCACATAGTCGCAAAAAAGACACACACGATTTCAGCAATAGGATGTCGTGTTGGTGATCAAGTATACGGTGATCGTGCTACATGGATTGACAAAAGAGAAGATGTGATCACAGTAAGAAAAATGATGAAAATTCAGAACAAAAAAAAAATTAAACTCGAATAGATTGGCTCGGAGAAAAAAGTTGTGGGAAAAGGATCAACAATGCAATGTAAAAAGTATGAGAATGGAACGTTTGCAGTTGAAGTAGCAGGTTTGAAAAAAATTACTCGGTAAAAAATACCACGCTCGAATTTAGCATGTTTGACATCCGAAAACACATACATTCGCCCTGAGGATTTCGGCACTGTAGACGAAGCAGTAGTAAAGTGTGCATGGGTAGAAGGGAAATGTGTTCTTCGCAAAGCTGAAGTGACAGGTAGATTTAATTATGTTTTTTTTAACTTCAAATGTCGACCCACTATGATATCTTACAAGGGAACCACAACACCTCGTCATTTCAGGTTTTGATGAAAATTTCAGGAGAGGTTGAGTATAGCCTATCTAGACATCCCTGAAAATTTTAGAAAACGCTCGCCACTTTCAGACGAGATATTTCAGTCCAAAGTTTTAGTACTGAATTCAGTGGATTTTCATGCTTTACCACATGTTCCCTCTCCAAATTCCCTAAGAGAGAAGTTTGGAGACGACCTCACATGTAACCGCCTTTCGAATCAGTTTGAAACGGCAGCGTGGTGTAGGGGATTTTGGTGTAGGCGATTTAGCACCAGTAATCACAAAGTTATCGGTTCGCACCCGCTTGTGGTTTTTTTTCTTTAGGTTTATTTAAATTTGAAAAAAAAACTCAAAAATTTCAAAAAATAATTTTGAAGTACCACTACCACTGGAAAGTAGCAGTTTTGAAGCGCTGTTTTGGTGTCTATAGTGACCATATTTGATAATGAAAAGAATTTGATCAGGAAATAGGTTATCTATCAGTTTTACCATAATATTTTCAAATGATAATCCCCACTTTTTCAAAGAAATTTTTCTCAAAAGACAAAAGTTGGATAACATCTCCCAACCAAGTGGTCGACAAAATTCTCAAAATTTTTGAAAATTTGTTTTTTGAGAAAACCTCAAAATTATGAAATTTCATTTAAGCATAAGACAAAACATTTCATGTTCTAAAACGTCCTAGAAATTGAGAACTCGGCTGAAACTGGCGAGCGTGTTCTAAATTTTTCAGGAATTTCTAGATAGGCCATCCTGAAATTTTCATCAAAATCTATGGTGACGAGGTGTTGTGGTTCCCTTGTTAGTCCTTAGAAAAATTTTGATCTCTAGAAAAAACTTTTGGTCCTGGAAAAAATTTTGGTCCTAAAAAAATTTTGGTTCTTAAAACAAATTGTGGTCCTTAGAAAAAAAATAGGTCCTTAAAAGGGTTCACACTTTTTATGGATATTTTTGAATACTTGTTGCATTTTGATTCAATTATTAAGTTTTTTGGTCGTTTTTTTCCATTAAGTATCATTTTTTCGAAGTTTAAGACACTTTCTCTATGAAAGTCAATTTCCGGTACATGGCCCAAAAAATCCGAACTTGTTTTTTTTAAAAATTGAAATTAAAATTACCAGATGTCAGGAGACTTCTAAGATACAGGAGCCACATTTAGATTGGTCCCACGCGGTACTATTCAAACGGTGACCAATTTCGTTTTGACAATGAAAATATTTCTTGATACGAATAATGTCTAGATTTAACTCGGAATAGTTTATTTTTGTTATTTTAAGTATTTCCTGTGCTGAAACAACATGTCTTATTTGTTTCCTTTCAGCTTAGAATTTTTGAAAAATAAATAGGAATCTGTTGTAGTTAAAAATGTTAAAGGAGGCAAGACAGCAAAAATTTCGTGGGACGAAATCGCGCCGCGCTTATGTAGACCATCGGTCGTCAGGCGCCTTCGCGCCCCCGTAGCTCAGCCGGTAGCGGCGCTGTACCCCTGAGCTGCCTGTAATGAGTTCAACCCCTCATGGGGGTTCTCTATGCAAAATATCAGGAAAACTTTTTTTTTGGTATCTGGCCTCCTTTAACATTATTTTGTCAAAGATAGCACTAGAAATGTAGTCGAATTACATTAGGAAAGGTTTATTTAGGTTATAAAATCATGTTCCCTATGACTGTTCTGTCAAGGAATGCAAAAAAGGTTTCTTCCCGTCCAGGGGTACCTGACACCAAGACTTCGACTCAGAATTGATT